GTTTCAGATTTAGAATGATCTTCTGGAACGGATTAAGTATGAAATCCGGGGTTCCACTGTACAGTGTCTGCACTCTGAAGGAAGGGTATTAATGTTGCAGTTTTATAACTGTACTGTAAGCACACCTCTGGCAAAACAGTGATGGAGTGAATGGTGAAAGTTTTTCTTTTTCGGGCCACCCTGCCTTGGTGGGAAACGGCCGATGTGTTAATAAAAAAATAAAAGATATACACATGCTGTGGTGTCACTTCTAGTCTCATTCAGTCCATGCTTCCTCCATTATTATGTTGAAATTCTTCAACTTTATTTAGGAACATTGATCCTCTGATCATTTGGTCAACTGATGTAGCATGTTTAAACCATTCCTACATTGTTCTGCATAAAGTGTCTGAATCACCCTTTGTGCCTCACACAAGCCTGTTGGCTTGTGTGAGACAAATCTTGCTCACAAGTGAGTGGAGGCAAGTGTTGTTTATGATTTGATGTGCTGTTCTTGTGTAAGCAAGGTAATATTTATGAAGGGATTCAGGGAAACCAGTTAGCCAGACATGAGTCCTAGAGGTGGAAGTACATTCCATATACTTTATGAATGAGGGAGTGGGGATGTTGCATTTTGGAGGGGCATCAGGACCATAATGTCAGTGCACTTAGGCAAGACAGTGATTGAATGAGGGACAGTGAGTTTTTTTTGTCTTTGTCAGGTCACACGACCTCAGTGGGAGACAGCTGGAATGTGTTAAAAGAGAAAGTTTATGTTTAGAGGGTTATGTCTGAAGAAGTTTTTAATAATTTCTACCTTTTGTCTTATAAATTTGTACACTGATGCTGTACTCACCTATCCAAATGCATGAGAAATTTGGCTTTATTGTCCAGCATTAACAAAGGCCTCTTATGCTTATTAGGTGTTTAAGAACTTTTTCTTAAAAAGTTATCACAGTACACTTGTTGATGGTGAGAGCAAAGAAATATCATAACCCTAGAGGCGTAGGTGTGGTGGGTGGGTGGTGGTTCGTGTACTAAGGTTTTGCTAATGAAGAATCTGTGTTCTCTCTGCAGACCTCTACTAGTAAAAAACACTGCAAAGGATGTCCTCTCATGTCCTTTATGACTCCAGTATGTCAGTATGTTTAGCACCTTTCCATGAGGATAATAATGCTTTGGTTTGACTGACAGATGGTGCCAATGATTATATTAGTGAGTTTATAGAGCAAGTCATTATTTTGACAACTTCTTTGTTCATTGTTATGCTTTATTAAGTTGTGACCTGATTAAGCTCAACTCTGAGCAAAATATTGTCAGAGTAAAACCTTGCTCAAGAAACTCTCTCTCTCTCTCTCTCTCTCTCTCCCCCTCTCTCTCCCTCTCTCTCCCTCTCTTTTTTTTTTTTTTACACATGGTTTGACAAGGTTAAGGATCCCTAGCTTTATTGACAAGCTATTTACAGGTTAAGGATTCCTAACTTTATTGACAAGCTAAGAGCTGTTACTACACAAGCTCTTTGAAAGCATTTTATTGTTATGAGACATACAAGTAGGGAACAGGATGAAGTTGGAGCCATCTGTGGGCCAGCATTTTCATTTGATCAACTGACGTATCTCGTTGACATCATTATCTGAACGAAGTTTCCATAATCGAGACATCCTGGGTATGTATGATCTCAGATGGATTGATGTTCTGGAGAAAGGGGACAGCCAAGTGAAGTTGCTGCTTTCTGCCCGTCTTGTGGGATAAAGCTTGTTTTTGCGCTGTCCTCGAAGTGGATCTCTCTCCCTCCTCCCTCTCCCTCTCCCTCTCCCTCTCTCCCTCTCCCTCCCCTCTCCTCTCCCTCTCCCTCCTCCCTCTCCCTCTCCCTCTCCCTCTCCCTCTCCCCTTCTCTCTCTCTCTCTCTCTCTCTCTCCTCACTCTCTCTCTCTCTCCCCTCTCCTCTCTCTCCTCTCACTCTCTCTCTCTCCCCTCTCTCTCCCTCCCCCCCCCCTCTCTCCCCTCCCCTCCCTCTCTCTCTCTCCCTCTCCTCTCCCTCTCTCTCTCTCTCTCCCTCTCCCCTCTCCCTCTCTCTCTCTCTCCTCCTCTCTCTCCCTTTTCTCTCTTCCCTCTCCTCCTCCCCTCCTCTCCCCTCTCTCCCCCTCTCTCTCCCCCTCTCTCTCTCCCTCTCTCCCCTCCCTCTCCTCTCTCTCCCCTCCTCTCTCCTCTCCCCTTCTCCTCTCTCTCTCCCTCTCTCTCTCCCTCTCACTCCTCTCTCTCTCCCTCTCTCTCTCCCTCTCTCTCTCTCCCTCTCTCTCCCTCTCTCTTCTCCTCTTTTCCCCTCCCTCTCTTCTCCCTCTCTCTCCCTCTCTCCCCTCCCTCTCTCTCTCCCTCTCTCCTCTCCCTCTCTCTCCTCCCTCCTCTCTCCTCCCTCTCTCTCTCCCCTCTCTCTCCCTCTCTCTCTCCTCTCTACCTCTTTCCCCTCCCTTCCCTCTCTCTCTTCCTCTCTCCCCCTCTCTCTCTCTGCCCTCTCTCCCTCTCTCTCCCTCTTTTTTTTTTTTACACAGGGTTGACAAGGTTAAGGATCCCTAGCTTAGACAGCTAAATTTTCAGGTTTTAAAGGGTTCCTAACTTTTTGCACTAAGACTTTACCTACATCGCTCATTTGAAAGCATTTTTATTGTTATGAACATACAAGTAGGGAACGGGATGAAGTTGGAGCCATCTGTGGGCCAGCATTTTCATTTGATCAACTGACGTTTCCTCGTTGACATCATTATGCTGAAACGAATGTGTTCCATACTCAGTCATCCTGGGTATGTATGATCTCAGATGGAGTGATGTTCTGGAGAAGGGTACAGCCAGAGTGAAGTTGCTGCTTTTCTGCCCGTCTTGTGGCAAAAAGCTTGTTCACGCTGTCCTCGAAGTGGATCCAAGTGTGGTATTTTGACAATATTGGCCTTGTACATAACAGTAAGGCCACCCACATCCCTCCTATGTTGAAGGCCTGCTGAAATGGACAGATCTATCCAGGATTTGGGGGCCCGGCGAGAGATGAGACGTCTTGCTCTGTTCTCTACTCTGTCAAGCAGTCGCAGATGAGAGGGGGGGGAGGCAAACCAAGAAAGTGGAGCATAACTCAAGGTGTGAGCGTACTTGTGCCTCGTACAGGATCTTGCAACCCCTACTGTCAAGCAGATGCGAGATTTCGGCGAAGTGCTGTAAGCTTCCTGGGTGCCTTTTTTGCAAGATTTACAACATGGTTCTTCATGGTTAGTTTGGAGTCCCAAAATTTTACCCCAAGGATACCCAAATTCTTCTCCAGGTGCCAACAAACGTCCCATTTCATCCTTACTACTGCACCACAAATTTCCATTTATGGTGCCTAGAGACTCATCATTTTGGCCCTTTTCTCAGGTGCAAAAAGTTACTTGCCATCTATTTCCCCAAGCTGATATAGCTCTCAGCTGGTGATTGATGTAGCTTAGAGCAGCTGGCATTTCTTCTCTTGGATAAGTGAATGTCAGTGTACAGTCGTCTGCATATGCATGTGATTCTGGGATGAGATGAAGAAGGTCGTTGAAGTAGACATTCCATAACAGTGGACCCAGCACACTTCCTTGTGGAACGCTTGCCCCAATAGGATGCCTTGCTGATTCCGTTCCATTGAGGACTACACTTAGAGATCTACCATGAAGGTAATCACTGAGGAGACATAGCGTAGAGCCTGCAATTCCCAGTGCTTGAAGTTTTGCTAAGAGGCCCTGGTGCCACACCCGGTCGAAAGCGCCAGCAATGTCCAGTGCTACCACACAGCTGACTTTGGATTCATCCAGTGACTGGTGCCACTTAGTGGAGAGGTTTAACAACAGATCAGCAGCAGAGTAACCTTTCCTGAAACCATATTGACGATCACAAAGTAGTGAGTGGTAGTCAAAAAAATCTGTCATTTGTCTTGAGATTATTGTCTCAAGGATCTTACCAGTGATTGACAGGAGTGACACTGGTCTGTAGTTGCTGATTTCTGCTCTGCTCTTCTTTTTGTGAACAGGGACTACATTTGCCTCTTTCCATGGAGAGGGCCATTTGCACTACTAGGCAGTGCTGAAAGATGCGAGTTAGAGGTGCTGCTAGCTCGTCTGCACATCTTCTCAACAATCTTGGGCTCAACTTGTCTGGGCCCACAGCCTTTTCCTGGTCAAGTGATTTAAGAAGGAAATGCACCTCCTCCTGCCTTATTGTCACCACTGTCTCTCTCTCTCTCTCTCTCTCTCTCTCTCTCTCTCTCTCTCCCTCTCTCTCTCCTCTCTCTCCCTCTCTCTCCTCTCTCTCTCCCTCTCTCCTCTCTCTCTCCCTCTCTCTCCCTCACTCTCCCTCTCTCTCCCTCTCTCTCCACTCTCTCTCCCTCTCTCTCCCTCTCCCTCCCTCTCCCTCTCTCTCCCTCTCTCTCCCTCTCTCTCCCTCTCTCTCCCTCTCTCTCCCTCTCTCTCCTCCCCTCTCCTCTCCCTCTCCCTCTCCTCCCTCTCTCTCCCTCTCTCTCCCTCTCTCTCCCTCTCTCTCCCTCTCTCTCCCTCTCTCTCCTCCCCCTCTCTCTCCCTCTCTCTCCCTCTCTCTTCCCCTCTCTCTCCTCCCTCTCTCTCTCCCTCTCTCTCCCTCTCTCTCCCTCTCTCTCCCTCTCTCTCCCTCTCTCTCCCTTCTCTCCCTCTCTCTCCCTCTCTCTCCCCTCTCTCCCTCTCTCTCCCTCTCTCTCCCTCCTCTCTCTCTCTCTCTCTCTCTCTCTCTCTCTCTCTCTCTCTCTCCCAATAACAGTATTAGCAACAATTCCAGACTTACTGTTCATCTTGCCTGCTTATGATTCAATTGCTTCCCTGCCACACAAATGCACAGAATCTTGAGGGCTGCAGTTAGGTGCTGGATAGTAGAGGTTCCACTGTATTTATACTCAGGATCTAGCACCTCATTTATTACAAGTTTAAATTTAAATCGTTCTTATAAGAGTGATACAGTGGAATATATCCCCTCTCAATTTCTCCTTTCAGCCGAGGGCTCAACTAGTCCAGTTTTAAAATCTTCTATCCCAAGAAAGTCATATGATGGTGCAGCCAGAGATTTAGTCCTCAAATCACGAAACTGTAATTTCACCTCAGTTACTTTAGTGAATAAACCGTCGACTATTGTTTCTTTTCGACATTCAACTCCGCCCACATCAACAGCATCATTAAGGGATCACAATAAACAACTAACTGTGGGTGGGGACACAAGTGAGGATGAAACTTCAGCTCAGAAAATTGATAGATATAATTATAAAAAAGGTGTGTGGTATTGATTTAGTTTTTAAAGTGCAGTATAAATGATAATTGTTGCTATTTACACTGTGATAGTTTATGTAACTTTTCTTTGAAAAAGTAAAGAAAAGAGATGGTTGCAGAAAGGGCTTTCATTGGGACAACATTTTGATGTGTTAAGATTTATATCAAGTTATGACTTGATAAAGATTTTAACAAATCAAAACATTGGGCCAATGAGAACTCCTGCAAACATGTTTTTCCTTCACTATTGTTGGCAGTAAGCCTTTTGATTCTACTCTAACTCAAAAGCTGTTAATTACTGCATGTGTTTGAGAACAATGTTTGGTATGAATATTATGCAAAGGGTTCAGAGTGTAGAATTTAAAAGAGGGTGTGGGGTCACCAGAGGTATAATTCGGAGGGCTGAGGAGTTGTTTAGGTGGTTTGGGCATTTACCGAATTGTGATGTCAGCATACTTTTTGAATGATGGTGAATGTGTTTCCTTCTTTGGGTCACTCTTCTTTGACAAGAGATAGCCATTGAGGTAAAAAAATAAAAATAAAAATTCTTAAGAAAATGAGTGAAATGAACCTTGATTACCATTTGTATACTGTTGTATAGTGGGAAATAAGTTTTGAATGTGTATAAACTCTTGGAACTGGCTCTGGCTTTTGCTGCACGAGACTTGGAAACTATCAGGCATAACCCTTTTGCAGGGGAGAAGACTCCTCAATTCAAGATTTCACATTTGCTGGGGCGCTGCTTACTGCATGTTGTTGATCTTTTGTATATTTTGCTTAAATTTATCTCTTATAGTATTTCATTTTGTTTGGTTTCTTTGCAGTATTGTTAGGTCTGCATACTCTACATTTTTGTTGTAATGCATCCTCTTGTTCTGTGTGTTGCTCTTTTTTCATTTCCTGAGTAATACTTATAGTTGTGTGCTGCTTGTTTTGTTTACAGGAATATGATTGCTTTTGACATGTGGGTTTAGTTAATTAATTTTGAGGACTTTTTCTTTTTTAGAAGAGATTGGCACCTCTGCCCAGACATAATATTGGCCAAACAGTTTCTGCAATTTTGGATCATTTGTATTACCGATAGTCATCTAATAGGCATGTAACATGTTTGTGGGTCACAGACTGAAAGGCAGTGGGTGCCCATCTTGTGGCTTTGCATAAGGTTTTGGCAACAGTCTTGAGTGAGACTGGTCTATAGTTTAGAGTTCTTCCTTATCACCTCTTATAATATCACTCCCTTCAAAGGGGTAGTCGATACTGGGGAAGGGTTCTTGATTCAAAGAACTGGAGCTACCCTTCACTTGTTTGGATCAGACCTAGTTATCTCACATTCCCTAAGTATTTCATGATCCCTTGGGTTTAGTGCTTTACCATGAATCTTTCAACACATCGGCCGTATCCCACCGAGGCAGGGTGGCCCAAAAAGGAAAACAAAAGTTTCTCTTTTTAAATTTAGTAATTTATACAGGAGAAAGGGTTACTAGCCCCTTGCTCCCAGCATTTTAGCCGCCTCTTACAACACGCATGGCTTATGGAGGGAGAATTCTGTTCCACTTCCCCATGGAGATATAATGTAGTTACCTACTGTATATGAGTTTGTGAAGGATTAGCTGATGGTCTTGCCTCCTAACTTTAGACCAGATAATGTGAAATTGCTTTGTGTGAAATGTATTGCATATGAATGCATTGACTTAGTTCACCTTTAGTTAAACATTTTGATCCTTGGACCTTAATTACCTCAAATACACAAGGAGTATGAGAGGAGGCAGGCTGTATGTAGCAGCAGGATAGTGCAGTAGTGGTAGTAGTTGTAGTAGTGGTGGTATTAATAGTAATTGGAAGTAGTAACTGTAGTTGTCAGTTAAAGACTCTGCATCCTTAACCAACTGTTACCACTTATTATTACACTACTACTACACTCTCTTGCCCCTATATATAGCCTGCTTTCTCTCATACTCCTTTATGTACTTGAAGTGTTCAAGGTTCAAGTACCTAAATCTCTTTCAACACACCGGCCGTATCCCACCGAGGCGGGGCGGTCCATAAGGAAACACAAAAGTTTCTCCTTCTACATTTAGTAATATATACAGGAGAAGGGGTTACTAGCCCCTTGCTCCCGGCATTTTAGCTGCCTCTTACAACACACATGGCTTACGGAGGAAGAATTCTGTTCCACTTCCCATGGAAATAAGAGGAAATAAACAAGAACAAGAGCTAGAAAGAAAATAGAAGAAAACCCAGAGAGGTGTGTATATGCTTGGAGATGTATGTGTAGTGTGACCTAAGTGTAAGTAGAAGGAGCAAGACGTACCTGAAATCTTGCATGTTTATGAGACATACAAAAGACACTAACAGTCCTACAATCATGTAAAACAATTACAGGCTTTCATTTTACACTCACTTAGCAGGATGGTAGTACCTCCCTGGGTGGCTGCTGTTTACAAACCTACTACCTATGAAGTACCTAAATGCTTACAATAAAAGTATCTTATTTGAATATATTCATGTCCATTTTGCTAAGGTTAGTGGCGGTGAAATTGCTTTATCATTAGAGGTGCCAAGTGGACAAGTGACAAAAGTAAAAAAAAAAAAAAAAAAAAAAAAAAATTGTAGAAAACGCATTTAAAAGTTTGTGGTTGTGAACTAACTTTCATCTTTAGCAAACATAGTTTAGAATGTGTAAATTATAATGGTATAGAAGAAAGTAAACATACATTATTCTAGTAAGAGGTATATTATTTTGTTATATTTGCATGCTAATAACAATGAGTTAATGATGATAAACTGGCTTATTAAAAAATAATCAATATCAAACAGTTCTTCATAATTGTAGCTGAAACTTTTACAAGAAAATTCTGCGGCATGAAACAAGTCTTTCTGGGAAATTTATTTTTTTAACCACATCGGCCATTCTGGCACCAAGGTAGAGCAACCTGAGGGAAGGAAGCACACTCACCATCACTCATTCAATAGCTGTTTTGCCTTTTTTTTTTTCTTTAGAAGAAAAATGTGAGGTAGAATCTTTGGAAGTTTGGAAGAGAAAATGAATGATGTACACCGTGACATATAAGAAAGATAAATGGTAAAGTGTGTTTATAAGGCATATTACCCACAAGGGCAGGTCTTAGATGCTTGTCAGAGGCTTTTGTTTTGAGTACTAGTAAATTTTGTTAAAAATATAAATTAACAGAAAGTGAAAATTACTTTATAAATGTTTTATGGGAGGTTTAGCGAGGAAGGGAGCGGTTTGAACTACAGTATTGTTTGACTGCACCTGGTGCTGTGTTTCCTCTACTGTGTAGCCTAGTACTGTACAGGCATGGAAAACGTCTGGGCTTGGCATATTTTGATCTGGCCTCTGTGGTACATTGTTCAGTATTTTATATGCCTACTATGTAGGAATATTAAAGGCTTCATAAACTTGACAAATGGTTTTTAATACTTGACGTGCTGTTGGAGTGTGAGCAAAGTAACATTTATGAAGGGATTCAGGGAAACCGGCAGGCCGGACTTGAGTCCTGGAGATGGGAAGTACAGTGCCTGCACTCTGAAGGAGGGGTGTTAATGTTGCAGTTTAAAAACTGTAGTGTAAAGCACCCTTCTGGCAAGACAGTGATGGAGTGAATGATGGTGAAAGTTTTTCTTTTTCGGGCCACCCTGCCTTGGTGGGAATCGGCCAGTGTGATAATAAATAATAAAAAAAAAACTTGACTATTAGCATGCAAGCTGGATCAAAGCATGCCTCAGACTGAATCAAAACATGCCACAAGCTGGATCAAAACATGCCACAGGTTGGATCAAAAGATGCCTCAGGCTAAATCAAAACATGCCACAGGCTGGACCAAAACACCTCACAGGCTGGTGCCTCTAGCACCACCATGTATCTAATGTCCAGTTAATATTTAATGTAGGCGATTTAGGTGCTAAAGTTAAGATCTCAATGATTTGTATTATTTATTTAAGCAGACCAGAAAGGAAACACAAGCCAAGTATCACTGAGAAATTTTAAGAAAGACATGGATGACTCAAATCGTAACTCCCCAAGAAAAGTCATTATGGGACCATCTGATGTCACCTCTGATACATCTCGGAAAAAAATTATATGAGGCCATCGGATATTCGGTCTCGTATATTGTCCAGACCACTTTTCGTTGATGCTCCAAGTCCAGTTTCAAAGGAAGATGAGGAAAGTAGCAATACTGAGGTTGATGATGATGATGTGATGATGATGATGAGGATGATGATGATGAGTGATGATAATGATGATGAAGAGAATGATAATGGTGAGAAAGATGATGATGATTTATCATCTGACAGCCCCTTGGGTGGCATGTCAGTGAAGAGGCTAGTCAACAAGATGTCACCAACAACGAAGGCAGTAAATATCTCAGATGCTGAACAGGACAGCCAGGATGGGCCACTTGTTAGAATGAAGGTATGTAAATTTTTTTAGACAGATTCATTTTAAGTGCCTGAAGGACTTTGACCTGTATCTGTAAATTGTAAAAAGCGTATACAGCCTCTCCTCACTTAGCGATGTACTCGTTTACCAACCACTCGGACTTACTACAAGCTCTCCAACCAGTATGCAAACCTAAGTAATGTGTATTAGAGCTGATTTCCTCTATTTTGTTTATTACAGTATACAGTACACTACTATAATCATTTAAAAATAAACTAGAAATGTTATAAATGGTGCAAATGTGATATTAAAAAAATGTCCGAAGGTGGTTCACACAAACCCACTACAGGTAAGCTTTTTGCTTACCGACCTACTCTTAGAAACCCCATTGTTAAGTGAGGATAGGCTATATTACAGTTTGGGTTGCAGTGAGATATAGAGTAATTTTCAAATAGGGCAACATTAATAATCATGGTACAATACTGTACCATGTTAAAAGATAAAGAATCACACATAAAGTGGGAGTTCTCACAGTTGCTCTTTGCTGATGACACTGTGCTCTTGGGAGATTCTGAAGAGAAGTTGCAGAGATTGGTGGATGAATTTGGTAGGGTATGCAAAAGAAGAAAATTAAAAGTGAATACAGGAAAGAGTAAGGTTATGAGGATAACAAAAAGATTAGGTAATGAAAGATTGGATATCAGAATGGAGGGAGAGAGTATGGAGGAGGTGAATGTGTTCAGATATTTGGGAGTTGACGTGTCAGCGGATGGGTCTATGAAAGATGAGGTGAATCATAGAATTGATGAGGGGAAAAGGGTGAGTGGTGCACTTAGGAGTCTGTGGAGACAAAGAACTTTGTCCTTGGAGGCAAAGAGGGGAATGCATGAGAGTATAGTTTTACCAACGCTCTTATATGGGTGTGAAGCATGGGTGATGAATGTTGCAGCGAGGAGAAGTCTGGAGGCAGTGGAGATGTCATGTCTGAGGGCAATGTGTGGTGTGAATATAATGCAGAGAATTCGTAGTTTGGAAGTCAGGAGGAGGTGCGGGATTACCAAAACTGTTGTCCAGAGGGCTGAGGAAGGGTTGTTGAGGTGGTTCGGACATGTAGAGAGAATGGAGCGAAACAGTTTGACTTCAAGAGTGTATCAGTCTGTAGTGGAAGGAAGGCGGGGTCGGGGTCGGCCTAGGAAAGGTTGGAGGGAGGGGGTAAAGGAGGTTTTGTGTGCGAGGGGCTTGGACTTCCAGCAGGCATGCGTGAGCGTGTTTGATAGGAGTGAATGGAGACAAATGGTTTTTAATACTTGACGTGCTGTTGGAGTGTGAGCAAAGTAACATTTATGAAGGGGTTCAGGGAAACCGGCAGGCCGGACTTGAGTCCTGGAGATGGGAAGTACAGTGCCTGCACTCTGAAGGAGGGGTGTTAATGTTGCAGTTTAAAAACTGTAGTGTAAAGCACCCTTCTGGCAAGACAGTGATGGAGTGAATGATGGTGAAAGTTTTTCTTTTTCGGGCCACCCTGCCTTGGTGGGAATCGGCCAGTGTGATAATAAAAAAAAAAAAAATACTGTACAGGCACACCTCGTTAATACAGTGCTTGCTTTAGAGCACTTTGCTAACACAGCGCTTTTCAATTATAGTCACATTTATGATTTTGGCTCCTCTCTTGCTCTTGGCGACGGTTTTCTGCAGTTTTCAAAAAAAAATCATTAATTTTACTTCTGTATGTTTTTTTAGGCTTAGTTCTATTGTGCACTTAATAAATGAAAGTGTAAACATGTTTTTAGGCTTTTATATGCACTGGCAAGTGAAAAAAAAGGCTGTGACTCACTTTAAGGTGATACTCTCTTTATGGTGGCAGTCTGGAGCCTAACCCAAAATATTAGTGAAGTATGCCTGTAGTATACAATTTCATTTCAAATTATCAGAAAATCTAGAAAATCTTCCTAAACATTTTTGTTGTCAATATTAGGGACCATCAATAATCTTATTGTACTACTGTATTTAGAAACTGACCCTGATTTGTGTGTATTGCTTATATGCAGAATGCAGGCCCTGGAAGTATTAAAATTTTAAGTAGTAAGAGATGGCAGAGTAATGAACAGGAATATGAGAGTAGTACAGTATGTATTTGGAAAAAAATGCCCTGTATAAAAAATAAGAGAATGAGTCCTTAAATTTTGTTTGTATGTCGGGGAGGGGAGTGGTGGGACACTGGTCACCAACTTACAAATGTGATGCATTCCTGGTTTGTCAACTTACAAACAACTTAGCTTAGAAAACAATGGTACAAAATGCAATAGTTCAAAGAATAATTATATCTCCCACATTTGTATTGCTGCTTGGCAGCTGGTGAACCAGGCTGTTGCTACTAGTAGCCCTTAAGCCTACATAACTCTCACAGCCTGGATGATCAGGCACTTGAAGTAGGTAGCAGTCCAGTTTCTTCATGAAAAATTCTTTATTCCAGTAATATTTCTGATCACAGCTCATTTTTTCTCGCAGGTTGTTAAACGTGCTCGACTTGTTTCCAGTGATGAAGATGAAGATATAACACCTCCAGCTAAAAAACAACAGCTAAATGGCCACAATAGTGCTTCAGAAGATTCATCTAGCATGCCAGATGATGAAATAATTGAAAAATTCATTGAAATGTGGGAGAAAGTGTATCCATATATGGAGAAAATGGTAAGTCACATCATAGTTTATGCAGTATGGGATGTTAAACTCCACATATGTGATTTTTTTTTTTTTAACATACCAGCCATCTCCCACCAAGGCAGGGTGACACAAAAAAAGAAAAAAATGCTTTCATAATGTTTGTCTTCCTTTTAAAATTAATTTATACAGGAGAAGGGGTTACTAACCACTTTCTCCCAGCATTTTAGTTGTCTGTTGTGACACCCATGGCTTATGGAGAAAGGATTCTTCTCCACTTCCTCATGTAGAATATACAGTGGACCCTCGGTTATCGGTCGTAATCCATTCCAGAAGGTCGGCCTAAATCCGAAAAGGCCGAAAACCAAAGTAATATTACCCATAAGAATTAATGTAAATCCAATTAATCCATTTCAGACACCCAAAAATATTAACAAAAAATACATTTTTTAAAGATTAACTATAGTTTTACATGCAGAAATCAATGAGAAATAAATATAAAGCACAAATCTTGAAGAAGGCAGGAAGGGAGAGGGAGTTGGGAATCCCTAACTCCCTCTCCCCTCTGTGTAGTGTAGCCCCCCCTGGGCTACACTACACAGCCATAATACAGTGGACCCCCGGTTAACGATATTTTTTCACTCCAGAAGTATGTTCAGGTGCCAGTACTGACCGAATTTGTTCCCATAAGGAATATTGTGAAGTAGATTGTCCATTTCAGACCCCCAAACATACACGTACAAACGCACTTACATAAATACACTTACATAATTGGTTGCATTGGGAGGTGATCGTTAAGCGGGGGTCCACTGTATTACCATGTTCACTGAGTTTAATAGTTTCTAACAACTACCTTTAGATGCCAGCATAAACAAAGGGAGAAGTAATGAATAATTCATGCCGAGAATTGTAAACAAATGCATATGAAGGGCGGTCACTGGGCGAGACTCCAAATTCATAGTTTTCTCTAACGTTGAATTGGAGAAAACGTAATGTTTCCTCTCCATCCGACTCTCTACTCGATGGCATATAAGCATTGCTTGTTTATATGCTATGTGATGTATTTCTTATATAATTTTGAAGAAAATATCATAGATGGATTATAGAAAATATCTATATTTACCTAAAATACGACAGTGTGCCCAAGAGTGACTATTATTAAACATAGAGGGGCAATGTGGCAGATGTTGCAGGTGTATGGTGTAGGAGGTAGGTTACTGAAAGCAGTGAAGAGTTTTTACGAGGATAGTGAGGCTCAAGTTAGAGTATGTAGGAAAGAGGGAAATTATTTCCCAGTAAAAGTAGGCCTTAGACAAGGATGTGTGATGTCACCGTGGTTGTTTAATATATTTATAGATGGGGTTGTAAGAGAAGTAAATGCGAGGGTCTTGGCAAGAGGTGTGGAGTTAAAAGATAAAGAATCACACATAAAGTGGGAGTTGTCAGAGTTGCTCTTTGCTGATGACACTGTGCTCTTGGGAGATTCTGAAGAGAAGTTGCAGAGATTGGTGGATGAATTTGGTGGGGTGTGCAAAAGAAGAAAATTAAAAGTGAATACAGGAAAGAGTAAGGTTATGAGGATAACAAAAAGATTAGGTGATAAAAAGATTGGATATCAGATTGGAGGGAGAGAGTATGGAGGAGGTGAATGTATTCAGATATTTGGGAGTGGATGTGTCAGCGATGGGTCTATGAAAGATGAGGTGAATCATAAAATTTGATGAGGGGAAAAGGGTGAGTGGTGCACTTATTAGTCTGTGGAGACAAAAGAACTTTGTCCTTGGAGGCAAAGAGGGGAATGTATGAGAGTATAGTTTTACCAACGCTCTTATATGGGTGTGAAGCATGGGTGATGAATGTTGCAGCGAGGAGAAGGCTGGAGGCAGTGGAGATGTCATGTCTGAGGGCAATGTGTGGTGTGAATATAATGCAGAGAATTCGTAGTTTGGAAGTTAGGAGGAGGTGCGGGATTACCAAAACTGTTGTCCAGAGGGCTGAGGAAGGGTTGTTGAGGTGGTTCGGACATGTAGAGAGAATGGAGCGAAACAGAGTGACTTAAAGAGTGTATCAGTCTGTAGTGGAAGGAAGGCGGGGTAGGGGTCGGCCTAGGAAAGGTTGGAGGGAGGGGGTAAAGGAGGTTTTGTGTGCGAGAGGCTTGGACTTCCAGCAAGCATGCGTGAGCGTGTTTGATTGGAGTGAATGGAGACAAATGGTTTTTAATACTTGACATGCTGTTGGAGTGTGAGCAAAGTAACATTTATGAAGGGGTTCAGGGAAACCAGCAGGCCGGACTTGAGCCCTGGAGATGGAAAGTACAGTGCCTGCACTCTGAAGGAGGGGGTGTTAATGTTGCAGTTTAAAAACTGTAGTGTAAAGCAGCCTTCTGGCAAGACAGTGATGGAGTGAATGATGGTGAAAGTTTTTCTTTTTCGGGCCACCCTGCCTTGGTGGGAATCGGCCAGTGTGATAATAAATAAGAAAAACATCACATATAAACACTGCATGTTTTTATATACTATGTAACGTGTTTCTTATATAATTTTGAAGAAAATATCATAGATGGATTAATGAAAATGTCTATATTAACCTAAAATAAGACACTTAATATGCTCAAGAATGATTTATTGCCCATCCAGTACGGCCGATAACTGGGATAGAATTTCGGCCAAAAAGCCAATGTTCGGAACAGCTGATAACCGAGGGTCCACTGTATGTTTTTTTTTTTTTTTTTTTTCAAAACTTGATGTTCTGTATATGTGATTTAAGATATGTCTACAACTAACTTAAGAACTAGCTTGATTCTAGACAGTGTATAGCTTGTCTTGGACTGTTATCATGTCATGACTAGTTTCAGCCTCAATTTATGGGTTAGTTGTGAATTGTTCCAGCTTTGGTTTTGTGACTTAACCTTTATTCTGCATGACTTAATACAGTGTACATATTGAACCTTCATCATTTATTTCATAATTCTGGCTCTTGGGGTTTAGCTTTGTGACTCAAGTATGTATTAGTGGCATAGTTGATAACTTTGTGATTCAAAATATGTATTATTGGTGTTGTTTATAACTTTGTGATTGAAAGTATGTATTGGTGAATAGTTTTCCATCTTTGATCTTTGGAGTTTTTTTTTTATTATAGCTTCAATCAAGCCTCTTTTAAATTTGCACATATATTCCAGAATTCCATATTAATTTTAGATTCTTGGGAGGAATGTGTAACATTTAATTGTTCATTTTTACTTTCAGTTTGTGTAATTTTCATTATTCTTTGTTATAATCCATCCAGTTATATTTCAGTTCTGACCATTGACCATACTGGAGCTATGGTTTGGCCATCAACCTGACTCTAGTTTCACGGTGTCACACCCTTAATACATAAGAACATAAGAAAGGAGTACTGCAGCAGGCCTACTGGTCCATGCTAGGCAGGTCCAAGTCACCAACTGGCCCAAGCCAGTCACACCCACCCACATCCACTCATGTATTTCTCTAACCTATTTTTAAAACTACACAATGTTTTTGCTTGAGTGACACTACTCTGGATTTTGTTCCACTCATACACAACTCTATTACCAAGCCAGTGCTTTTCTATATCCTTTCTAAATCTAAATTTTTCCAACTTGAACCTATTGCTGCGGCTCTTGTCCGAATTCTATGCTTTCCTAGAGAGTGCAGATTCAGGGCCCTCAATCTATCCACATAGGAAAAATTTCTGATACATGTACATCAAATCAACTTTGTCATCCTTCTTTGTACGTTTTCCAGGGTACATATTTATGTCCATTCTGTAATAGTGACCAAAGGTGTGCAGCATAATCTAAATGAGACCTAACCAATGATATATAGAGTTGAAGAATATCCTGGGAAACCTGTTATTTATGCTTCTTGATATGAACCCAAGAATTCTATTTGCTTTATTGTGAACACTTACACGCTGTTGTCTTGGTTTAAGATTACCCCTAACCAGAACCCTAAATCGTTTTCACAGTCAGTGATATTAAGATCTTCATTATTATTTGTGTCATGGTTATTTTTCTTTCCAACATTTAGAACTTTGCATTTGTATGTATTGAACTGCATCTGCCACTTTTCCAGCCATTGCAACAGTCTCTTTTAGTGTCCTCATCAGAATTAATTTGACAGCCTATTTTGGTGTCATCGGCAAACTTGCTTTTGTCACTTTATCCCTTTATCCATATCATTTATGTAAATTGTGAACCAATATTGACCACAGTGAAACACTGCTTGTGACTTGTCCCCCGCTCTGATTTCTCTTCGTTTATACAAAAGCACTGTTGCCTGTCTGTCAACCATTCCTCTATCCAGGAAAAAATTTCTCCTATTCTGTGAGTCTCTACTTTCCTCGGTAACCTCCGATGTGGAACTCTATCAAAAGACTTACTGAAGTCCATGTACACAATATCATATTCATTACCATGATATACCTCTTCAAAAACCTTAGTGAAAAAAGTTAGTAAATTTGTAAGGCAGGAATGCCCCTTTGTAAAACTGTGCTGAGATTCATCGATCAATTTGTCTTTCAAAGTGGCTTCGAATAGCCTTGGCAGTTATTGATTCCATCAATTTTTCCACAATGGAGGCTATTGTTATTGGTCTATAGTTTGAAGCTAAGGACCTGTCTCCTGCTTTGTAGACAGGAATCACATTTGCCATTTTCCACTTATCTGGCAACTATGCCAGTTTGTAGTCATATGTTGAATAGACTAGCCAGAGGTTTGCTAAGGTCTTCTTTGCATTCATTTAAAACCCTTGCTAATAATTCATAGGGCTCGGGGATTTGTTAGGTTTTAATTTATCTACTTGTCCGAGAACCATGTAACTGGTGACTCTGTGCATGACTTATTTTTGTCTAGTTCAACATAATGTATCATTTCTGGAATTTCACTAGTATTTTCCTGCTTGAAAACTGAGAGGAAATGAGTGTTAAAGGTTCTTTGCATTTCTTTGTCACTGTCAGTGAGCTGACTCAAGTAGTTTTTGAGTGGGCCTATCTTGTCCATAATCTTACTCCTATATACCAGAAAGAAACCTTGTGGGTTAATCTTTGACTCCCTTGCAACTTTAACCCAAGACTCATGAAATCGTAATGACACGATTGCAAACAAACCATACCATGGGCGGGATTTGAACCCGCGGTCAGAGAGTCTCAAAATTCCAGACCATCGCGTTAGCCACTGGGCCAGCTATCTTCAATAAGATTCGTCCAACTAGGTGTATTTCTACACCATAGGAAGGTTAGCATAGGCACCACTGTGTCCACAAATGCAAGTTTTTATAGACGAATCTCCCGCTAGCATGGCCGTGATGAACTCTAGCTCAAGGTCCCCTCAAAGCCGTCAACATGACTCATGAAATCGTAATGACACGATTGCAAGCAAACCATACCACGGGCGGGATTTGAACCCGCGGTCAGAGAGTCTCAAAACTTCAGACCGTCCCGTTAGCCACTGGGCCAGCTAGCTTCAATAAGATTCGTCCAACTAGGTGTATTTCTACTACACCATAGGAAGGTCTGGAGTTTTGAGACTCTCTGACCGTGGGTTCAAATCCCGCTCGTGGTATGGTTTGTTTGCAATCATGTCATTACGATTTCGTGAGTCATGTTGACGGCTTTGAGGGGACTTGAGCTAGAGTTCGTCATGGCATGCTAGTGGGAGATTCGTCTGTAAAAACTTGCATTTGTGGACACAGTAGGTGCCTATGCTAACCTTTCTATGGTGTAGAAATACACCTAGTTGGACGAATCTTATTGAAACTAGCTGGCGCAGTGGCTAACGCGACAGTCTGGAGTTTTGAGACTCTCTGACCGCGGGTTGAAATCCCGCCCGTGGTATGGTTTGTTTAACTTTAACCCAATAATCGCTCTTTGACACATAAATATGTACTGTTTTTAAACCTTTTATTCTTATATTTTTTATATTCTCCTGCTTGTTTGTGTGTCAGGAATTATTGAAATTTCTTCTCTAAGTAGCTGATGCATTGGCCTGTGAATGTTAGGACTCTTGGGTTCAAACTGTACTAGTTCCTTTTTTTTCTTTTTTTTTTATATGAAAAATGTTTTCTGCTTAGTACAGTTTTATAAAACTGAAAATGATAGCTGTTAAGCATTATTACCATAGGTGTAATGAGTTATGCTCCATAATGCTGCTGCTATTCCTCGATAAGAAATCTTAGTTAATTAGAACGTCACACAGATATGATTGTTACTCTGACCTTTACCATTGGTAAGGATTGACAACATTCATTAAAAACCATGTCATAAAGTTTTGCAGGTGAGAGGTACAGTGCCTGCATTCTGAAGGATAGTGGGGATTTCAGTTTGGATGGCCATCTTACCTTGGTGAAAGATAGCTGATAGGGTAAAAAATCAAGCATTAATTATGGTACTTTTTTTTTTATCTTATTGGCCTTCTCCACAGAAGTAGGGTGACCCAGAAAAGAGGAAACACATTTGTCATCATTTATTCAACTGTTGTTTTACAAAGCTTGCTTTTGTTTCATATTAATTGCTCTCTTGCTTTGCAGGAAGTCTTGGATGTATATAAGGAAAGTAAGTGGGATGCACAGCTTACCATGGCACAGTTGGAGAAAGTAAATAGAATACGAAAAGCAGAAAAGAAACTTCAAAAAATTGAAGAGGTGATTTCTAAGAAACAAAAGCAAGCTGAGATACGGGAGGAAAAAAAGAAGCAGAAAGCAGCTGAGAAAGAATTAGAAACAATGGCAAGGACAGCAATGAAGCAAAAGTTGAAAGCTCGAAAGGCTGCTTGGAAAGGTAAGACTATTAAGCAGTTTTGCTGAAGCAATTTGTAAAATAATTTGCATTTTTGATGAGAATCTTGGATTCACTTTTAACCCTTTCCGGGTCCAAGGCCAAAATCTGAAGTGGTGCCCCAGTGTCCAAGAATTTTAAAAAAAATTTTTTTTTATTTTTTCTTATGAAATGGTAGAGAATCTTTTTGTGAATGTAATAAAACAAAAAGTACGAAATTTGATGGAAAATTGACAAAATTATGCTCTCGTGAATTTTGATGTGTCAGCGATATTTACGAATCGGCGATTTTGCCGACTTTGACTCCCATTTTAGGCCAAATACATTATTCCAGTCGACCAAATTCTCAGCTATTTCACTAGTATTACTTCTATTCTATCGATTGAGCACAAGAAATCGCCAAGTCAACTGTTTCAACTACAAAATAAAGTGACTGAAATTGGTATATTTGGCCAATTTAACACAAAGTTCAAAATATTCCAATTTCAAAATAGGGTCCAGAATAAACAATGTAGGTATTCCTGACACTAAACTAACATTTCCTCTGTTCATTAGTTATGTTTTGAGGCTTTACAAATAAATTCCATTTTGATTTTTTATTCACATAATGAATTTTTATTCACACCAAAAAATAGAAGATTTACTGTTAGGCAATATTGTAATAATTGTATAAATATCATCACCACATTTGTGAATGTATATTAGACCCACCAGCTGGCGTGTATTAGACGTGTGAGGTCGTTTGTTTACTCTTGAACATCGGCAAAAATTTAACATTTCCGCCACTTTGAGCTCAATTTCAAGCCATTTCCAGTGCTAACACCAATCAAAATTATCTCTATTTCTGTAATATGTCTTCCATTCTATCAAATGAGACCAAGAAATCACAAATACAACTATAAAAAAACATACGAAAAAACACTGCAAAGTTGCTGTTTTAATCGAAAATCATGGTCTCAGTTTTTTTCTCTCATTATACACAGTGTGCTGCAGGATTTGTTTTATGTGGTGCACACATACCACATAGATGTATTCTCTCATATCTAGGCCCAAATTTACCACTCACAGTTTATCAGAGTGAGCTGAGCTCATGACGTAGATCTACGGTTTGGACCCTGAACGTAAAGCCGTAGATCTACGGGACGGACCCTGAAAGGGTTAAAATTCTGATGGGTTATACATGTAGTAAACCAGTTAGTCTTGAGAAATATTAAATGATTGGCTTTTATTTGGCTATTCTAATGTGAAATGTCATTGACTTGTGTGATATATTTATTAATACAGTGGACCCTCGAGTTTTATAAGCTTTGCGCTTCGTAAATTTTGCCTTTTGACAACTTTTTTCGTCAAAATATAGCCTCGCGGTTCGTAATTTGCCTCGCCATTCGCCTCTTGTCTGGAACGTGTACAAGTGGCCTCCCAGTGTCCATGCCACACAGAGGCACCCCACACACCATTCCCAGTCAGTGTTGCATTGTTTATTGCCGAGTGACCACCACCTCACGTGTTCATGCAATACATTTCGTAATCTTCTTTCTTTCAACACACCGGCCGTATCCCACCGAGGCGGGGTGGCCCAAAAGGAAAAACGAAAGTTTCTCCTTTTACATTTAGTAATATATACAGGAGAAGAGGTTACTAGCCCCTTGCTCCCGGCATTTTAGTCGCCTCTTACAACACGCATGGCTTACGGAGGAAGAATTCTGTTCCACTTCCCCATGGAGATAAGAGGAAATAAACACGAATAAGAACTAGAAAGAAAATAGAAGAAAACCCAGAGGGGTGTGTATATATGTGCTTGTACATGTATGTGTAGTGTGACCTAAGTGTAAGTAGAAGTAGCAAGACGTACCTGAAATCTTGCATGTTCATGAGACAGAAAAAAAGGACACCAGCAATCCTACCATTATGTAAAACAATTACAGGCTTTCGTTTTACACTCACTTGGCAGGACGGTAGTACCTCCCTGGGCGGTTGCTGTCTACCAACCTACTACCTATAACATTTCGTAATATTCCATTCTTTTTTGTGCTTGCAACTGCTAAATAAGCCACCATGGGCCCAATTTAGAAAGGATACAGGAAAGTATTGGTTTGGAAATAGGGTAGTTAACGAGTAGAAGTCTGCCTAGTAGGGTTATCGAGACTAAAACCTTGGGGTGTTTTCAAATTTAAGTTGGCGAAATACATAAGTGAGAGGGGTTGGATTTGAGTGGGACTTGCACATGGGTAAACAGAATTTTTTTTTTTTTTTTCCAGCAAGTCGGCCGTCTCCCACCGAGGCAGGGTGACCCAAAAAGAAAGAAAATCCCCAAAAAGAAAATACTTTCATCATCATTCAACACTTTCACCTCACTCACACATAATCACTGTTTTTGCAGAGGTGCTCAGAACACAACAGTTTAGAAGCATATAAGTATAAAGATACACAACATACCCCTCCAAACTGCTAATATCCCAAAATCCCTCCTTTAGAGTGCAGGCATTGTACTTCCCATTTCCAGGACTCAAGTCCGGCTATATAAAAATAACCGGTTTCCCTGAATCCCTTCACTAAATATTACCCTGCTCACACTCCAACAGCTCGTCAGGTCCCAAATACCATTCGTCTCCATCCACTCCTATCTAACACGCTCGCGCACGGTTGCTGGAAGTCCAAACCCCTCGCCCACAACACCTCATTTACCCCCTCCCTCCAACCTTTTCGAGGACGACCCCTACCCCTCCTTCCTTCCCCTTCAGATTTATACGCTCTCCATGTCACGTTTAGTCACGTTTTAGTCACGTTTAGCCTTTCTAATTCCCTTTTTTACTTCTCTTTTAAGTTGAGCATATTGGTCAGTAAGGTTAGCCTCTCCTCTTCTGATGTGCCTATAAATTCCCCTTTTCTCCCCTAATAGATGCTTTAGCCTCCTGTTAACCCATTTGGGATTGTTTTTTTTTTTTTTCAACAAGTCGGCCGTCTCCCACCGAGGCATGGTGACCCAAAAAGAAAGAAAATCCCCAAAAAGAAAATACTTTCATCATCATTCAACACTTTCACCTCACTCACACATAATCACTGTTTTTGCAGAGGTGCTCAGAACGCAACAGTTTAGAAGCATATATGTATAAAGATACACAACATATCCCTCCAAACTGCTAATATCCCGAAACCCCTCCTTTAGAGTGCAGGCATTGTACTTCCCATTTCCAGGACTCAAGTCTGGCTATATAAAAATAACCGGTTTCCCTGAATCCCTTCACTAAATATTACCCTGCTCACATTCCAACAGATTGTCAGGTCCCAAATACCATTTGTCTCCATTCACTCCTATCGAACACGCTCATGCACACCTGCTGGAAGTCCAAGCCCCTCGCCCACAAAGCCTCCCTTACCCCTTCCTTCCAACCTTTTCGAGGACGATCCCTACCCCGCCTTCCTTCTCCTACAGATTTAAATGCTCTCCATGTCATTCTACTTTGATCCATTCTCTCTAAATGACCAAACCACCTCAACAACCCCTCTTCAGCCCTCTGACTAATACTTTTATTAACTCCACACTTTCTCCTAATTTCCACACTCCGAATTTTCTGCATAATATTTACACCACACATTGCCCTTAGACAGGACATCTCCACTGCCTCCAACCGCCTCCTCGCTGCTGCATTTACAACCCAAGCTTCACACCCATATAAGAGTGTTGGTACTACTATACTTTCATACATTCTCTTCTTTGCCTCCATAGATAACATTTTTTGACTCCACAAATACCTCAACACACCACTCACCTTTTTTCCCTCATCAATTCTATGATTAACCTCATCCTTCATAAATCCATCCGCCGACACGTCAACTCCCAAGTATCTGAAAACATTCACTTCTTCCATACTCCTCTTCCCCAATTTTATATCCAATTTTTCTTTATCTAAATCATTTGATACCCTCATCACCTTACTCTTTTCTATGTTCACTTTCAACTTTCTGCCTTTACACACACTCTCAAACTCATCCACTAACCTTTGCAATTTTTCTTTGGAATCTCCCATAAGCACAGTATCATCAGCAAAAAGTTACTGTGTCAATTCCCATTTTGTATTTGATCCCCCATAATTTAATCCCACCCCTCTCCCGAACACCCTAGCATTTACTTCTTTTACAACCCCATCTATAAATTGTTATTATAAATTGTTATTGTTAGACCTAATTTCTCTCGTAAATGCAGATCCCTTCGTAATCATAAGCATGATCATCGTCAATAAAATCATTAGTTAGATAACCCCAATCGAGATTAGACAGGTGTTCCTTAAGTCCACTATAATCGGCAGAATGTAAATCAGGGATTTTTACCTTATCATTATTCTTGTATTCCCAGTTAATACTAAAAGTGGAGAGGGAGTGTCTGGTAATGCTGATAATCCTCTCAATACAAATAGGAGACTGTTTGCTCTAACTGTAACTGTAAATATAATAAACAGTTTTGGGAATATCTGAATTTGTTTTTTAAATTGTTACCCAGTGGATTGTAACAATTATGGGACTTAGTCTGCTGTTCAGATTTTTCTGTTAAATTGGAAATTCATTAGCTCAAGGTTCATTAAATGGAGGTTTTACTGTCCTTTCACTTGATATTTTTTCCTTTGTTTTCCTCATTTACTTTCAGTAAATTCCATTTATTTCTTTTTTGCATTGAAACTCTCAAGAGGAGCGCATTGATGCTGGTGAAGAGTTCTTAAATCAAAGGAATTTGAGTTACCCTTCCCTTCCTTGGGGATCCACAGATTCAAAACTGGGACTGACATGAATCTTAGCTCTTGTTTTGTGTTTATACTTGCCTTTCCATGGGGAAGTGGAGCAGAATTCTTTCTCTGTAAGCCATGCGTGTTGTAAGAGGTGACTGACGTGCCAGGAGCAAGGGGCTAGTAACCCCTTCTCCTGTATACATTACTAAAGTTAAAAAAGAGAAAATTTTCTTTTTCTTTTTGGGCCACCTTGCTTGAGTGGGATATGGCCAGTTTGTTGAA